TTCTTCTGGAAAATGGGCATAATAATGGTAAAATTGTATCTAATAATATACCTAGCTCATTAGGTTTTCATGAGGATTATAAGATATGTAAAGTGCTTAGCACAATACCCAGCATAACTAGCACATCAGTAATGCTGCGTAAACGCAAATCCTTCCTATTTGGTGGTGGTTATTATTAGCATCCTCATGGAGGGGCATCTGTTGACAGACACAAGTGGAGCAGCCTAGTGTCAGAAAGTGATTCTAGGACATTTGATCGCTTCTCAAATGGTCCTAACATTTCATCACCCAGTAACTACATATTGAAAGGCAGGCCCCTGTGGTCACTGGGGCTGTGGTTGTAACTGTAGACAGCTTGGTGTGTCCTGCAGACATTTTTGAAGGCTCCTTTACCACCACCTCTGAACTCTGACTGCATCCAAGAACTGACTCTAAAGGGAAATTAAAGGCACCTGCCCAGGATTTCACAGAGTTCTTCCCTGGCCCTGCCCTTATCAACCATCTCCTGGATGAAAGCAGAGGCAGCTCTGCTTCTGGCCCTTGCAGGAGATTAATGCCCTCCATCTCTGAACTGCAGTGGACTCTGAGTTAGGAGGATCTCTGGGGAGTCTCAAGGGAGGATGGCGGACTTACCCATCCTAGACCCCTCAGTGTTGGAGAAAAAACTCCAAGAAGCAAATGATAATTTGAAGGTTCAGTCAGGCTCATAGGTACTTGTGATACAATAAGAAATACATATCTGGACTCTGCCCCAGTTCCTAACACAGAGCTCCTAAACCCTTGTAATATCCGGAGTGATAGAGGTGGTAGGAGCATTTTTTGTTATAATATTTGATCTCTATCCCTTGTTCCTGATATAAGAGCTTCTAAACCCTAGGAGTCTCCAGAGTGATAAGAGTATCTTTTTGTAAGCTAATGAGGCGACTCTTGGTTGGGTGGGAGTGGGGAGATAGTTTCAGGATGGGGTCTGGTTACCAGAGGAACCAACTATGTGGTTAGAGGGTTGGAACTTTCAGCCCCATCCCCTGACCTCTGAGGAGAGGGAAGATGTTAGAGATTGAGTTCAGTCACCAATGCCCACTGATTTATTAAAACATGTCTATGTAGGGCAACTTCCATAAAAACCAGTGTGACTCAGAGAGCTTCCGGGTTGGTGAACATATCCACTTCCCAGAAGGGTGAGTGCCCAGAGAATATGGAAGCTTTGCACACCTTCCCACATGCCTTGCCCTATGCATCTCTTCCATTTGGCTTTTCCTGAATTGTATTCTCTATAATAAACTGGTAATAGTAAGCAAAGTGTTTCACTGAGTTACAGTGTTTCACTGACTTATGAGGGGCATTATAGCAAATTATTGAACCTGAGGAAGGGATTTTGGGGACACTCAATTTATAGCTGTTCAGTCAGGAGTATGGAAGACCTGCAACTTATGATTGGCATCTGGAATTGGGGGCAGTCCTGGGCTGAGCCCTTAACTTGTAGGATTTGCATAAATTCCAGGTAGTTTTAGAATTGAGTTAAATTGTAGGACACCTAGTTGGTGTCTGCAGGGAACTGGAGAATTGGATGGTGTGAAAATCCCACACATTTGGTGTCAGAGGTGTTGAGAGTATAGACAAGAGTTTTTCTTTTGTGATTCTTACCAATTTCTGCAGAAATTGAGATCCTGCTGGCCTCTTGAGTATTCGAGTAGCATCCTCAACTGTATTTGTGTGAATGTGTTCTGGATTTGGGGTTGACTCTTTGAAAACCTGGTAAAGTCACAGTGTTTGTGGTGGGTGAAAAGATGCACCCAGCAGCAGGAAGTAGTTTCAAAAGATAACTTCTCAGCATCTGCCTGAATTTCCTTTATAAGTTGCAAAGGCCCATTATTTAATACAGGTTATATTTTAGGATTAGGGTTTTAATCCATTCTCAAGTAGTCAGCTTATTCCTGCAAAAAAAAAAAAAAAAATCCAGAAAAGAGCTAAGAGTAGGAAGCAACAACATATGTCTGTTTCACTAAGGCTCACATATTTTGATAGTGTAGGGACCAAGGCTCTTGGCCCCTTAAAGTTTTGCTGAAAAATCACTGACATGAAGCAGATTAATAGGAGAGAAAGCATACAAATTTATTTTAATGGGTATCCACAGGAGGCTTCAGAAGAACACCTAAAGATATAGGAGAAATTGTCCATTTTTCTTCTTATGCTTAATAAAATATAGACAGTTGGGTAGAAACATGATGGCACAAAAAGAGTATGATTTAATGTTAATAGACTGAGTGGGGAAACTCAGTAAGGCTTGTCTGTCTAGATTCTTCTTGGCCTCCCTGAGCATGCTTTCTTTCCTTTTGGGTGTGGGGCAGGACCCCTCTGGAATGAGGGTCTTATGACCTATTGTCAAACAAGGTAGGTCAGATAATTTCTTCATGGCCAGTTTTTATACAGAATAATTTTAGGTTTTATGGCTGGCTTTCAGGGAAAAGGGGTTCTGGCTTTAATGACCCCCCCCTCTTGGGGAAGAGGGAGTCTGGTTTCTATGGCTAGCTGCAAGGGACGAATTGGCCTGAGGAACACGAGAACAGGAGATGGTTGGAGGAAAACTTTTGCTTATGAGGCCTTCATTTTGGGGTACTGTTTCTGAGCCCCATTAATAATTAAAAACAGGTGGGCCTTAGTAACAGAGTGAGGAGGGACCATGGAAGGTGATCCTTAAGTCCAAATTGTTTAGCAAAGTCATTTTAACATGGGCACATGTTAAAACAGACATAGAAGTATAGAAATACCACAGAAAATAGAAGTATAACGATACATGATTGGTACCTTTCTACCTACAAATAATAATAACAAATATTTAATTGGTACTTTTCTGTTTATAAAGAAACTCACATACATTGATAATACCTAACATCTAACAATTACTAAGCACTTACTATGTACCTAGCACTGTTTTAAGTGCTTGTACTCATTTGCTCATTTAATCATTACAGAATCCTGTGGGTCTGCATCCCAACGTCACCTTGCCATGCTATTTAAAACCAGTTCCTCACCCACCCACTTATTCTCCTCCACAACACGTATCGCTCTCTGACATCCTGTATGTTAATTTCATTACTTGTCTGTGTCTCTCCACTAGAATGTAAGCTGCCTGATGGTGAGAATTTCTTTTATAAACAGCATCTAGAATAATGCCTGACATATAATAGAACAAATGCTTGGCCCTCAATAAATAGTTGATAAATACTTGAAAGTACTCTTACCCCCATTTTACAGGTAGCTGAGGTCCTATGTGGTTAAGTAGCTTACCTAGGTCACAGCTAGGAAGTGGCAGAACGGGGATACAAACCCAGACAACTCAGCTCTGGAGACACATACAACCATGACAGTAGACAGCTCGAGTGCACAGCACTATGAGTCAAGGGCAGGCCTGAGTTGGGGATCTCATGCGGTAGGCATAGATCATGGTATTCTGCTTGTAGCTTGACGAGAAAGGCCCAAGAGGGAGGTGACAGGTGCTGAAGATTAACATCAGGTCTTTGACACTTTGCTTTAGTCAGATTCTGGTTACGGGTGCTGGTTAAGCTTGTCATGAATGTAATCACACAGAAACCAACAGTTATTTCTGAATCCCATTTGTGTGCAAAGCACTGAGCTAGATGTTAAGAGAAATATCACAAAGTATAAAAAGAGATACTTGGCACTCAAGGAGTTTATAATCTAACCGTGGAAAGTATTAGCACATGAAAAACTAAAAAGCAAAGTCAGTGGTATTAAGAGTATCATAAAGCAGCACATGGTTAACAGCCCACTCACACGTAAGGCTAAATCAAACTCCTGCAGAAACATGACAGGAAGCTGAAAAGATAACATAAAATAGCAGCAACTCCTGTTACCAGGACAGTGTTGGTTTAACAGGATGTGGGGGGATCAGGGAAACAGATGGCCAAGAAGTATATGTTGTAGAACAATCCAGGAAGGTATTGCTTTCTCAGGCTCAGGATAGACAAGCTAGTTCTATTATTACAGCTTTTTTTTCTTTCTTTTTGGTTTTTTAATGTACTGTTTGCTCACCTGCCCCTGAAGGCAGTTTTAGGACTTGAGCAAAATACAAGTTAGCACCTGTTTTTATAATTATAGCTTAGATAGTTTTCGTTTGGGGGATTTTGTTTTGTTCTGTCTTCATTTTTGTTGACTCTTAAATATCTTGGTCTTAGCTATGATGGTTGTTTTGACATTGTCAATCAAGAACTCAGTGGTCAATAGTTTAATGCCTTCAATATTACCATCTATTGCTTGTTTAAACAGAGTTTTAATTTCTAAAGGGTTTTGTGAATTATTCACCAATGAAAGCAAAACTAGAAATTGCAGCATAATTTCAAAGTATTGCTTGGAGGATATGGTCACCAGAAAACATAAAACTATTCTCCTGTCAATTCCTGAGCAAAAGTTATCCTACAGGGATAGAATAAACAAGGTCATGGTAGGCTTCTCCTGCAGCTAATTTGTATTGTGTGCTTACTATGTGCCAGGGATAGCACTGGATTCTGGATATACAGTGGTGAACAAGATAACATAGTCCTTACTTTCATGTAATTTTCTAGTATACTTTCCCAGATAGCAGTCAGCCGTTTGCATAGCAGAATGGCCTCATTATGCAACCTCTTGTTCTTTGAAAAGTAATAATGTATTTGTGAATGCTCCATTCATGTTCTTCCCCCCACATCGTTTGTACATAGAGTGTACACCTGTGTGAGGAAGCAGGGAGGGTATGAATTAAACCCATGTGTACCCAAAACAGGACCTGATCATGGCTGCTTAATCAGAACTCTGTTTAACCTTCTCCTAATCAGTTGGAGACAAGCATAGCTACCTAATAAAACACTAAAATATATTAGAAAATGACTCTGTATTCATATTTGTGGCCTAATCATATTCTCTATACATATGCTGGTGTATAGGGCATCTCTATACAAATGGTGCATGGCTTTTTCCCATGTTCAATTTTGGTTTTCTTTCAGAAGAAACCTGTGAAGCAGATGGAATCAGGCAGTGGCATCTCACAGATGGATGAGGAGTGACGGGGAAGCTGGGCAGGCCTCAGCCTTTCTCGTGGCAAGGACTGCTTCCCCACTCCCTCACAACCTGATCTGCAGCACCAGCTTTCCAAAGTGAGGTTCACTTGGTAATGTAACAAATACTGATCGCTCACTGTGTGAGAGTTCTTCCTCTGAGCATGCTTATGATTCCATTTGTTGAGTCACCAATTCTCAAGAATCCCAAGATCCCCCAAACATGAAGACCCCACAGAGAACAGCTTAAGTTCACTACTATTATTATAAATGCCTCTGTTCTGAAGAGTAAATTTGAGTAAGAAAAGAAACAACAAATTATGTTCATGTTGAGAAATGTTTCCTCTCTTACTCTACTTATTTTTCATAATTCTCCTTTGGGCCTACAAAATGCATCTCTGTGGTGTCCTGGGAGAGCACTAAATAAATATAAAGCAATAATGAGGAGGCTCTGGGCCACCTGGGAGGAGGTGAGTGTGGCTAAAAGTCACGGTGGAACCTGGATGCCCGCCTCAGAAGGCTCAGGGAACTCACCTGTAGTGTAATGGTTGCTCTGCTTGTTTATACTGCCCAATAAACCATGAGCTCTGTGGGGCAGGTTGTGCATCCTGCTTTCTGTATAGCCCCAGTGCAGTGCCTGGCGTATAGTTGATGCTCAATAAGTATTTATTAAAAGTAAGAAAAAAAAGGAGGGAGGAAGATATGCGTGCAGGCACCTCAGGCAGGGAGGAAGAAATGTGTGTGCAGACACCTAAGCTTCTGAGGCCGTAAAGAAAATGTGGACAGAAACCTAAAGTCTGTATAAAAACAGAGCTTGCACTCAATCTTTGGAAACCAAACCCCCAGGTTAGCGCAGGTGAGAAAGCCTGGCAGGCGAACTCGGTTAAGAAGACGGAGTCGCTAGGGGCGCGGGCGTCAAAGGGCGCATGCGCGGCGCTGGCTGCTGTGCTGTGCTGTGCGGCGGAGATGCCGGCCTGGGAGTCGCAGGGTGGCTGTAACCTCAGTGAGTGCGGGCGTGACCGCCGGTGCGCAGACCAGTGGCGACCCCCAGCTGGACCCACAGGGCATAAACACTGAAGGCCAGACCTCCTTCCCCCTGGGGGCTGCCCTGAGTTTCTTCACAACAGTGACTCCCAGGAGCCCGCCGTTCAGGGAAGCCTCAGGCAAGGAGGAGGCACTGCCACGGTGGCCACAGAGCCCAAACCCACCGCAGGCTTTGCAGGTAGTGGACGTGAGTACCGACGAGCAGCTTTGGCAGTCCAGGGACCACCAGGGCTGGGCCCGCAAAGAAGTCGTGGCATAGACATGAGCTTAGATGAACGCCACGTGACCGTCTTTGTGGGACCATTTCGCTCTCCACCATCCTGTGAGGGAAGCAGGTCGGGGACTATCGTCCCCATTATACAAATGAGGAAGCCAAGGTTCAGCAAGGCTGAATAATTTTCCCAGGGTGACACAACTAATAGACTGCCAGGGTTTGCACCTCAGGGCCCCCTAGCCCCTGGTCAGTCACGTCAGTGGAAGCGTAGCAGCTGCAATGTTGGAAACAGCCGGCAGAGGACAGCCTTCACAAAGAGGCGGGTACTGCCTCTTCGTAGATAAAAGCTGACGCTACCAGTACTGGGGCAGATAGATGGTGGCCCTGGGCTCCCTGGTAAGATACAGATATAAGATTTTCCTGTCATAAAAAACTTACCTAAATATCTCCTTAAAGACCAGATAGACTTAAAATCAGGGGCAGTCAGCTAAACAATTGGCTGGTACCCTTCAAAATGTCAAGGTCCAAAAAGTCAAAGAAAGGCAGAGGAACTGCCTTTCTTTGGGAACAAAAGAGACATGACAGCTAAATGCTGTAAATAATTGATCTTTGATTGGATCCTGGGCTGAGAAAAAAAAAAAAAGCAATAGATGTAAAGGACACTATTGAGACAATGGATATAATTTGAATTTGGACCATGGTTTAGATCAGGCATCCTCAAACTACAGCCCGTGGGCCACATGCTGCCCGCCTAGGACATTTATCCAGCCCCCCAGGTGTTTTTGCCACAGCTGCCTGTCCTGCTTAAAAGCTAACTCGTCCTGGGCCACAATGCACACTCTCCAATGGTCTGAGGGACAGTGAACTGGCCCTCTGTTTAAAAAGTTTGAGGACCCCTGGTTTAGATAATATTGTATCAATGCTAAGTTTCCTAAAGTTGGTAATCATATTTACATAAGAGAATGTCCTTGATCTCAGAAATATTTAGGGATAAAGGGGCACAATATCTCCAATTTGCTTTATTTATTTTTTAATGGAGACAGGGTCTCACTTTGTTGCCTGGACTAGAGAGCAGTGGTATCATTGTAGCTCCCTGCAACCTCAAACTCCTGGGCTCCAGTGATCCTCCTGCTTCAGATTCCCAGGTAGCTGGGACTACTGGCATGCACCACCGTGCTGGACTAATTTTTCTATTTTTGGTAGAGATGGGGTCTCACTCTTGCTCAGGCTGGTTCAAACTCCTGAGCTCAAGTGATCCCCCCTGCCTTGGCCTCCTGGAGTGCTAGGAACAGCAGTGTTAGCCAACACTCCAATTTGCTTTTAAATGGTTAAGAAAAGACACATAATGATAGGGCCATAAAAGAAATGGAGCAAAATGTAAGCAGTAGGTGAACCTGGGTAAAGGGTACTTGGGAGCACTGATACTATACTTGCAATTTTTCTGTAATTTTGAAATTATTTCCAAACTAAAAGTGATAACAGAGACAGAGAGGGACTGACTGTCCTAGTTCTCCAGGACTTGGGCCTTTTGGCAGCCATACCTGATTGGAGGCAGAGAGCTTTCTCCCTAGGAGTAAGGGATAGGGAGGGGCCTCTTTGTGAGTGTGGCTTCAGCCTACTGTGGAGCTTTGCCCTTTGCCCTGGACTGGCCAGAGTGGCTGTACTCTTACCTGAGTTAGAGTTACCTAAACTGGGAGTAGCCTTTGCTGCAAATCTTTTGACGGACTGAATGTAATTCACGCCTATACATGGAGGAGGAACAGTGGACCTAGCTGAACTCAGAATGGAGCTATAGGGGCTGGGGACAAAGGGAACATCCCAGGGCCTGTGAAATGCAGAAAAGGAGGGTGAGTTAGGGCTGGTAGAACCACCATCTACTGCTTTGCTGGGGCAATCCTTCCAGAAGGTAATGCTAGAAACTGGGCTGGGCATGGTGGCTCACGCCTGTAATCCTAGCACTCTGGGAGGCCGAGGCAGGAGGATCATTTGAGCTCAGGAGTTTGAGACCAGCCTGAGCAAGAGGGAGACCCGTCTCTACTTAAAAAATGGAAAAAAATTAGCTGGACAAATTAAAAATATATAGAAATAATTAGCCGGGCATAGTGGCACATGCCTGTAGTCCCAGCTACTCGGGAGACTGAGGCAGGAGGATCGCCTGAGCCCAGGAGTTTGAGGTTGCTGTGAGCTAGGCTGACGCTTGGCCTTTTGGCCCGGGCACCGGATTGGGCTTTTTTTTCAAAAAAAAAAATGCTAGAAACTGAATAAGCAGGGGAAATATTAACAGTAAGAAGACTGCTAGGGACCTGGCATGGTGGCTTATGCCTATAATCCTATCACTTTGGAAGACCAAGGTGGGAGGATTTCTTGAGCCTGGGTAACATAGTGAGACCCTGTTTCTACAAAAAATGAAAAAAGTTAGCTAGGTGTGGTCGCAAGTAGTAGTCTTTGCTACTAGGGAGGCTGAAGTGGGAGGATCACTTAAGCCCAGGAGTTGAAGGCTACAGTGAGCTATGACAATGCTACTGCACTCCAGCCTGGGTGACAGAGTGAGACCATGTTTCAAAAAAAAAAAGACTATGAGAAGCAGTCATAAAAAAGAACATAGAGTAGAAGAAAATCCATAGGAATGGCGTAGAATAGAATAGCATGCATTAGAATTACCTAGAGGGCTACCTCTCCCACCTACACACCTCAGAATTCTGATTCATTTAGGCCTGGGATAGGGGAGGGGTTGAGAATGTACATTTCTAACAAACTACCTGGTGCTGCTGGTCTGGATCACACTTTGGATTGCAATGATGTTGCAGTTGATTGTGTCCAGCCTTGCTGAAAGGAGTCATGACTGTGAGGAACACTTGGGAGCCACAACCAAAGTATTGTAAGAGGTCCGAGAATGACTGGGGTCACCTCTAGCTGGGCAGTAGGGATTAGGAACAGACAGCATCATGAATGAAATGCCACTTAAACGGGGTTTCATAGGAGATAGGGTGGAAGAGAGTCTGCTAATGAAAAGAAACTGCACATGAGCAAAGACCCAGAAGAAAGTCGGTCCAAGTTTATCATTTAGGTTCCCTAGGGAACTATGGACAGAGAGGCAGTTGGGGGCCTGAGTGCCAGGTCAGGAGTTGGACCATATTTGGCAGCCAGTGCAGAACCTCTGATGGAGATGTGACCAGAGGCAGGGCTTTCGAAAAGTTGACCTGGTAGAGATATGGAGGGTGCACTGGGGGAGAAGGAGGCTGTAAGAGGTGGGGAAACCAAAGAGGAGGTCCCAGCAATAGGCTGATAGGTGTGAGATAAAGACCTGAGGAAAGGGGTTGGCAGTGTGCATGGAAAAGAAGGGAGTTTAAGCATTATAGCTAAGTGGGGAATCAAGTTATGCAAAGATTCCATTTGTTCTATTAGACTTTTGGGCTTGAGTTACCACCAAAATTGATATGAAGCATTGAAGTTTGCAAAAATATTTTTAAAAAATCATTTCATATACTTAAAGGACATTTATTACTGAAAATTAAGTGTGAGCTTTCATATGAATATCTTCAAAAGTCTCTTAAGCAGGAAATGGATAATGGTGTGCTGGTTAATGTTTAACAACAGCCTGGGAGTTGAGAAGAGCCCTGATTTGTCTGTGCTACATTTATAGCGTATATCCATGCTATAAAATTCTCCCACAATGGCCAATTTCAAGCTAATAATGCATGTCAAACAGCTTACAGAATTCCAAAATATATAACAATTGGCTCTTGGGAGACAATATGAACTGATTTTAGCACACTCCTGAGTGGAGACCAAATGACAGGAAATGGTTGGAGCCACTGAGGTAAGCAGTGGGTAAAGATAG